CTGATTATGATGATTATGTTGATTCTGATCATGATGATGCTGCTGCTGATGCTGATGCTGATACTAATGCTGATGCGGATGCTGGTGATGACGATACTTGTTTTGTCCGTGTTGGGGCTGTCTGGGCCTCTGGTGCGGGAGTCTCATGGGTTCCTTGGGGCCCTCTCAGGCCAATTCGGGATCCTCTGATGCCTGCTTGGGGCTCTCCTGGACCGTCTTGGGACCCTCTTGGCCGTATGGTGGGTGCCTGGGGGCCGTCGTGGGGCCGCGCCGTTTTGGGCCGCTGACGGGCCTCCTGAGGCCGTCTTGGCGGTCTTGGAGGTCCTCTTGGGCCGTCTTGGGGCCGTCTTGGATGCCTTTTCGCCAGCGGTAGGGTCCTCCTGGGCCGTCCTGAGTTGACGGCAGCCCGGAAAGGCGAGGGTGCGACGGTCAGGTTAAAACCAAACGGGCGATCAATGATTGTGGCTTCTTCGGGCCCTGTTGGAGGTCCTCTTGTGGCCAGTTTTGGCCCTCTTGGATGCATCTTGTGCTGTCTTGAATGACTACTTGGCCGCCTTGAGACCATTGTTGTCAGTCTTCCAGGCATCTTGGGCCATCTTGCTGTCCTTGGTTGCATGCATGGGACGTCTTGGAAGCTAGAGACGCATACCCATCGTTGCTTGATGAGGGATCGTTGCTCGTTCCTCGAGTGGGTGCGCGTGGGATGAGGGGCCTGGAAGTTAGCAGCGTACTGGACTCTTGGGCGCCCTTTGGACCGTCTTGGAGGGCGATCTTGGTGGCCCACGGGGCCAGCTTGAAGCGTCGAAAGCCCGAAACCACAAATGAACACTGAATGAATTTGCTCTCCTCGAGGTCCTTGTGGCAGGCCTCTTTGCGGCCTCCCAGGCCGTCCTGGGCTATCCAGGGCGTTACGGGTGCATCGTGGGACGTCCTGGAGGCATCTCTGGGGCTTCTTCGAGCTGTGCGATTCTCTTGGAGGACGTCGCTGCCATCTTGGGTGCCCTCTTGCGGCCCTCCTTCCGCTGGAAAACTGGCGGGATATGATATTCGACGCGGCGTCCCAGGGGTCGGCGGGTTTGCACGACGGCTCGACGACCAAAGCGATCAGAAGTCTGGCACGCTGTGAGGGTGTTGGAGAGTGGGTGTTCAGTGCAGGGCATGGGGGTTCGGGTGTTATTGTGAAGGTGTTCGGGTGCAGGGCTACAGTGTTACTGTAAGGGTGCAGCTCGGGTAATTTGGGTTGGGTGTTCGGATTCGGTTGCTAGGATCAGGGTGCCCAGGTTCGAGTGCGGGGGCGTGGAAGTTTTTGAGTGAAGGTTAGAGCGCTCGGGCGGTAGAGCGTTACAGTCCTGGTGCTCGGGCTTGGGGGGTTGGAGTTGGGGCGAAATGGTGATGTAGTGTTACAGTCAAGACGCTGAAATAAGGAGCAGTTTGGGTAAGAAAGGGACTCGATATTCCTTAGGTTCTTCTATGGCTTTCCCTCTAGCCTTCCTCGTGCACGCAGGCGCTTGTGGGGCCAAAAGGGGGCTTCGTTCCTTGTTTGTCGGTCCTTCTTTCAGCAGCCCGACTGTACAGTGCCGTTTTTTTATACCTGCTCCGCGTGCGGATCATGTATAAAACATGCAGGGATTTAGTATTACAAACAACGATGAGTTCATGCATAAATTTACTCATACATTAATCACGTATTATAAATCCTATAGTTTTAAAAATCCGATGTATTTAAAACTGCCCTGCAGTCTCGTTTGGGGCAGACGCCACGGGCTCGGACGCGTGCCCGTGACATGCCGTCGCCGGGGCCGGCTCGGACCCGGAGCGCGCGCGTGGCGCGCGCACGTGTGGTTCTGGCGTGTGCATTTGTGTGTGTGTGTGAGAGAGAGGCTGGTCAAGTGGCGCGTCCTCCTCCGCAGTGCTTGAGGCTGGTGTTCGCGACGTGCCGTTGACGGCTGCACCATCTCCTTCGCCTTCCGGGACTTCGCTCCCGGTACCTGTCCGCGGCGCGCCTGTTCCTGCACATTCACTTCGGCACCGCCTTCACCCCTGGGCTTCGCCCACTCTGGCCGCCTGAGGCCCCGCCTTCCTGTGCCCTGTCTCCCTAATTAAAGCTGTGCGTAGCCCGCCTAGCTTTTAGCGGAAGAGGTTCGCTCTCTCCCCGCAGATCAAAAAAGTGTGTGTGTGAGTGTGTGCGAGAAGACTTTGCCGAAGAGTGCGGTTTGCCACGCCTGGTTCTCGCGGGAGGGGGATCGTCGATGAGGAGGGAGACGACGTTGGAGGATCGGGTCGGATGCAAGGGGGGCGCTCTCGTCGCCGGGGAACTATGCGGGAAATCAGCTGGAAGACGGTGGAAGCGCCGGCTCCAGATGGTGCTTTCTCAGTTTCGCGGAAACGCAAACCTCGAGCTTGCCGGAATTCGGGTTTGCCGACGCTTTTTGGCGGGCCCGTCCTGAATTTGGGCGGTCCAGTTTTCGTGAATGTTTGCAGTGGGAGTTCGCGCCAACTTTCAAACTGGGTCCATTCATGTTCCTGACGGCCCCGTCAGGCCAACCTGAGTCCCCTGAACCCGAGTCTTGCGTCTCCATGACACTATGAAGTTTCGGATTGGCTACAATTAGTTGACGTAGCGTAATGGATCTCACATACAAGACTTTTCAACACGGTTTTCTTGGCAGGACGTGGTCATGAAGTGTATTCCTTTTTCAGGCAAGCGGCCCCGGGTTTGCCCAAAGACAAAGTAGACCGATATTGTCAGTGGGTTTCTCAGTCGAAGGATTCCGATGTCGTTCTACCAAGCCACTCGTGCTCTCGATTGGGCAAAGTTCGAAGATGGTGTTGTAGACTTGTGGCTTCGCCATAACTTGCTTGCAACTTCGTGTGCAGAAGGGTGTGTAGCATCGAGGAGGAGGGGGAGGAGGAGGAGGAGGAGGAGGAGGAGGAGGAGGGGGAGTTGCAATACTTGTTCACGTCCGTCTCCACTTGTGGGGCGCGTGCGGCCTCCGCGCCCGATCTGACCTGGCCTGACACTGCCTGTCACTCAGCGGTCGCAACTGTCACACGCTGCGTTTATTTCTTGACACGTTCCTGGGGCCACCGCGTCTTTGTCGGACGTTACGTTACGCCCAGCAGTTGCCAGAGTCTGTGCAAGGCAACAAATGGGATGATGGTAATAAGAATAATGATGATGCTGCTGATGCTGATGCTGATGCTGCTGATTATGATGACAATGATGATGAGGATGCTGATGATGATGATGATGATGATGATGATGATGATGATCATGCTGATGAGGGTGGCGATGATGGCGACTATAACGCCGATGATGGTGATGATGATGCTGCTGATGCTGATGCCGATGCTGCTGGTGCTGATGCTGATGCTGAAGATGATGACGACGATGACGATGACGATGACGATGACGATGATGATGATGATGATGATGATGATGATGATGCTGCTGCTGCTGCTGATGATGATGATGATGATACTGATGCTGATGCTGATGCTGATGCTGATGCTAATGATGATGACGATTGCGACGATGATGATGACGATTATGATGATGATGCTGATGCTGATGCTGATGCTGATGCTGATGATGATGATGACGATGATGACGATGATGATGATGATGATGATGATGCTGATGATGATGATGATGGTGATGATGATGATGATGAAGATGATGATGCTGATGCTGATGCTGATGCTGATGCTGATGATGATGGCGATGCTGGTGATGATGATGCTGATGATGAGGATGATGTTGTTGATGATGATGAGGATGATGAGGATGATGATGATGATGCTGCTGATGATGATGATGCTGATGATGCTGATGATGCTGATGCTGATGATGATGCTGATGATGATGATGATGATGATGATGATGATGATGATGATGATGATTATGATTATGATGATGATGCTGATGATGATGATGATGATGATGATGATGATGTGATGATGATGATGATGCTGATGATGATGATGATGATGATGATGATGATGATGATGATGATGATGATGATGATGATGATGATGATGATGATGATGATGATGATGATGATGATGATGATGATGATGATGATGATGATGATGATGATGATGATGATGATGATGATGATGATGATGGAGGATGATGAGGATGATGAGGAGGAGGAGGAGGAGGAGGAGGAGGAGGACAAGGGCGAGGAGGACGAGGGCGAGGACCGAGGGCGAGGACGAGGCGGACTACGAGGAGGGCGGAGGCCACGAGGTGCTGCCACGGCACTAATACCGCCTCCAGCGTCACGCCTTTTACACTGTTCTCCGCACCCAGTGGGGCGGGGCGGGATGGGAGGGGGGGCCTTTGTGGTGCATCATGGGTCTGATGGGGACGGGGTGAGGTCCTGGCCCATGGTCCCGCGCTCCCTCCCTGCCCACCTGCCTCCGCTTCTTCCTTCTCCTCCCCCCGTCATCATCTGTTTCAGGTCCTCGCCTCGCCTCGCGATTGTTCACGTCCAGGCGGTCTAAATGCGCATACCTACATTCTGGATTTCCCCCTCCTGGCCGTTTCCCCCCCCTCTGTTTGTCGGCGTCCCTGGTCGCGGGCCTCCTTGGCCTTCCCCCACGACGCTACCTAGACCGCCGCGCCGTGCTGTCCAGGCGCTCTCGACTTCTCCCCTCCATGTTGGTGCTTCCCCCACCCCAACTTTCCATTACTCTCACCCTCTCCCGAATGCGCCCCCCCGCCCCACTGGGTTGAGCCGTGGGACGGGGCAGGAAAGGTGGCCGCGCCTGCACGACACCAAGGCCGAGAGCGAGCGAGCGAGGAGGAGGACGAGGGCGAGGAGGACGAGGGCGAGGACCGAGGGCGAGGGCGACTGCGCGGAGGACAGGGAGGCCACGAGCGCCCTCCACCAGCGCCCCCCGCCGCCGCGCCCTGCCTCGGCGGCCTCGCCCCCCCCCCCCCCCCCCCCCTCGGCGCGCTCGGTGCGGCGCGGCCGCGCTGCCGCGGCCGCGCCATGGCGCTCGCTGGAGGGGCCCAGGGGCGACGGCGGCGAGGGCGTGTCCCCCTACAGGCCGATTTTGGACGAACAACCAAACATATTCAAAGCACATTACCAAATAGTAAAAGGATACGCAAGAGATCGTCCCCAGGCTACCTTTTGACCATTTTGGAATTTTCCTCCTGTAGAGGAACAGGCCCGACTTAACCCTAAGTAGTTTTGTTGTTGTTGTTGTTGTTGTTGTTGTTGTTGTTGTTGTTGTTGTTGTTGTTGTTGTTGTTGTTGTTGTTGTTGTTGTTGTTGTTGTTGTTGTTGTTGTTGTTTTTGTTGTAAAAAAACTCAGGGCGGGAAGTTTTTTGGGCTGTCTTCGGCCCAGGTGGGCCCTCGCTGGCCTCGGGGCCGTCAAGGAACGACTCGGGACGGCAAACCGGTCCCAGGGAACGGGTCGGGGTTTCCAGGGACGCCGTCCTGAAAAAAACATCACGCCGCATGTCTGGGGACTCCGTTTGTTCGAGCCGGGCGTTTTCGCATTTTTGTTTCTGGGGGCCCAGGGCCCTCACAGATCGATCGGGCTCGAAAAACTGCGCAGAAGGACGGGGTCGGGAGCTCCGGGCGCGATTCTGACGATGCTGCGACTTTTTCGCTACGTCGTGGCATTGGCTCCGCGGTGACCCAGGGCGTCCGTCGCGGTGAAGTGGCCGCCGCCCAGGGCCCCGGGCGCCCTCTGGGAGGCCCCCAGGGCCCCAGGGCGCGCGCCACGGTGAATGATTCTCTCCTCTCTCTCCCTCTCTCTCCCTCTCTCTCTCTCGCTGTCCCGTCCTGGCCGCCCGTGCTGCCCAGTTTTCTAGGCAGGACGAGTGGGGGGGGTGACGGCAGAACCCGCCCCTTCCAGGGAGGGCGCCGCCGCCTCCTCCCACGAGTGGGCGGCGACGACGACGGGCCGCGGGCCGCGACGGCCACAGCAAGGCTGGCCGAGGGCCGGCGGCGGTCTCCGTCTGGCGGTGGGCGGCGGCGGCCGGGCGGCCGCGGCAGACGGCCGAGGGCGGAGGCCGCCCGTGGGCGCCTCGTGGGCGCCTCGTGGGCGTCCACGGGCGACTGGGTCAAAAAATAGTCCCCAGACTATTTTTGGACTGTTTTTGAATGTTCCTTCTGTAGAGGGACAGGCCCGACTGAAGACTGGGTAGGTGGCGCAGCTTGCACGACGCAGCTCGCATCGTGTAGCTCACACCGCACAGTCTGCACAGCACAGAGGCTGTTTTTTTTTGTTGGGGTCAGGCGATCTCCCGGGTTAGCGGGCTCGGCTCCCCTACCCCCCCCATGTCCTGACCTAGGACCTAGGCGGTTGTGCAGGTCCATGGGGGGCACACAGAACTCGCAGAGAGCGCAGTATTCGACGGTGCGCGCGGGCATATGCAGGGCTGCCCACAGCGCGAAGGTTTGGTTATCTGCCGGCCCCCCTTTCCCCCCACTCCCCAGATAACCCGGGTTATCGCTGATTCAGAAAAAAACGGTTTCATATCTCACACCACATTGGTCACACCGCATCGTTTACGTGGCACAGCTCACACCACATGGCTCACATATCACGGCTTGTTCTCTCCATAGCTCACACCACAGCTTATATAAGATCGCTAACACGACATAGCTTGCTCCACGGAGCTTACCCACAGTGCAGTAACTCACTGGTTGGTGCCCACGCTGGCATGTTTGATTCTGACATTGTTAACAGATACGTACGACAGGCATCGGCGTCATCGGTCAATATTGATATATGCTCGAGACAAGCGCATGGCGTGTTCAATACATGAGGCGCACGGATTATGAACATGTGCGACAACCAGAGTTCGTTACGTATGCATGGCACGAATTTCAAACGTAGCGATGCATACACGTCATATTCAAGTCGCCGTTATCAAGTGTTCAACGCAATCTGATTCGCAACGCGTACTTCTTGTTTTTCGCAACGCGTGCATCGCACCACTACATATATGTTGTGTGTATATATATATACACACGCATATGTACGTTAACCAGCGCGGGCTCCTAGCAGTGTTTTTTACAATCCATGTGGTGCAATCTAGGTCGTGCAATCAAAGCATTGCAGAATTTGTTGTGCAATCCAAGTGGTGCAATCTATGTTGTGCGCAGCAATGCGCAACAATACCCATCTGTCCACAACAATGTCAAGCAATGCGAAGCAACGCAAGGCAATGCAGATCACTGCAAAGCAAAGCTACGCAAAGCAATGCAGTGCAATGTAACGCAATGCAGAGCAGCGCAAAGCAGCATAATACAATGCAAAGCAATGCAAAGCAACGCAAAGCATTGCAATGCAAATCAGCACACAGCAATGCAAAGCAATGCAAAGCAATGCAAGGCAATGCGAAGCCAGGTAAAGCAATTCGAAGCAATGCGACGCAATCCAACGTAGTGCACAGAAATGCAATGCACAGCGATGCAACGCACTGCAAACCAATGCAACGCGCAAAGCAATGTAGAGCAATGCACAGCCATGCAAAGCAATGCAAAGTAACAGAAAGCGGCGACGGAATGGGGCCTAGAAGACAGGCGACGACGAGGCTGCGACAGGGCGTTGACGGCGACACCAAGGCAGCGGACCCGGCAATTAGGCCTGGTTGGCGACGGGCGGCGACGAGGCGGCGATGGGGCGGCGACAACAACCACAACGCGGCGGGCCAGGCAACCAGACCCAGCTCCTTCGAACAGAAGTAAGAGCCCCTAAGTGCAAATACGGTTTGGGGAACCGGCAGCACTGCATACACACAACCATGCTTACGACATGTCGGGCATGCGTAAGCTGTACGAGTGCATACGGAATGTCTACATCTGAAAGGCATGATACATAGCCCAGTATCTCAGCCCGTGCGACAAGAGTCGCCAGTGTTAACCGAATGGTTTTAGTTCAAGGGAGGGAAACCACCCGGACCCGACAATTGACGTTTAATGAACAGCTTTGGGTGTTAGTGAACAGCCCTGCCCTGTTCGATTCCTTCCCTGGGTGCGTTTACTAAACGGCCTCAGTGTCGGGGTGTTTATTACCGGGGTGGATTTTCTGCCCTCTATTCGTGGGTTGGTGGTCATCCCTGATAAACAGAGCTGGCGCCATCCCTGCTACAATCAACCCGCATAGTAATGGTGAACAATTTTCCAAGGTTACCCTTGCATCCTTACCCTTCGGCCCATCATTAGCCACTTTCGCTGGCCGCGCCCCGCTCGCAAAGTGTCGACACGGCCTTCCAAGGCCCTTGCATCCTTATCGTGCGTCCTTCTGATACGGGTTGTCTGCACGATTGCCTTACAGTTGAACGTAGAAACAGCCGCCATCTGGTCGTTTTTTCGAGTTGCCGCTACCAATAGAAGGAACAAAATTGACTTGTACCCATCGTACCAGGGTCTTGTCAGAATTACAGTGCCGTTTTTATTACATGCTCCGCGTGCGGATCATGTATCACACATGCAGGGATTTAGTACTAAAAACAACGATGAGTTCATGCCTACATTTATTCATAAATGAGTCATGTATTAAAATCCTATATTTTTAAAACCCCCATGTATTAACAACTGCCCTGTATGTGGGGCTCCAGGACGTGCTCCTCAGAGAGAGAGAGCTGCAGGTGCCCTCCGATAGGGGTCGCAGTGGAGCTGCAGGCAGACCGACGAGGGTCTGGTCGAGCGGCGGAGACGCTCCCCCGAGGGGAGCGCACCGGCGCTGCGGAATGCAGTTGGACTGCATTCCTCCCCTCTTCCCTCCTAGTCGTCCCTGCTTCTCTCCCCTACTCCGTCCTCATCCCCGTCCTCCGTCCCCCCCCCCACTGCCCCCTCCACCACCTCCTCCTCGTCTGCCTCCCTCCTCGTCCCCATCCGCAGCATCAGCACCATCATGAGCTCACCATATAGTCGGCCACAACATCGGCTCCAACACGCAAGCAGAGTGTTGGAGCTGATGTTGTGGCCGATTATGGTGAGTTCATGATGGTGTTGATGATGCGGATGGGGACGAGGATGGAGGAAGACGGGGAAGAGGGGTTAGGGGCGGGACGGAGGACGGGGATGAGGCCGGAATAGAGGAGAGAAGCATTGAGCAGGGAGGAGGAGTGGGAGGAGTGAAGGGGGGGAGGGGTCAGAACCGCGCGAAGGAGGGATGCGGAGGGGAAGGGGCGAGGCGGCAAGCTAGGTGCGTTCGTGTCATATCTGACGGCCTACCCCTCCCTCCCATCCCTTACCATGGCATCTATTCGCACAGTCGGATGTCGTAGCATGGCATGACATTACATGGCATAGCATGGTGTTGAAGATCAACGCGTAGCATGACATAGCATTGCGTAGCGACGCCTCAAAGTGGGGGCTTCTGCGGCCCCAAAAATCAACGAATCGACGACACCGAATGTGGAATCACTTCCGATGTTTTTTCCGGGCTGGTATTTTCTAGATTTTGGGGCCGAGTTGGACGGACCGAAAACCATGCCGTGGCATGGCACGGGAAATAATGACGCCAGCGCTGCAGCGGGAGCACGATTCGGAACGAGCGGAAGCGCAGAAATGAGGCCAGCGCTGCAGCGGGAACACGATTCGGAACGAGCGGAAGCGAGGAAATGAGTCCAGCGATGCAGCGGGAGCACGATTCGGAGCGAGCGGAAGCCCGAAAATGAGGCCAGCGCCTCAGCGAGACCATCGGCTTGAACGAAAAAACCCAGGCGAAACCCCTTTCCCGGGAATCCTGTACGCAAGACAACAGTGCGCGGAGGCGGGGCGGATATCTTCGGGAAGTCGTCAGGGGAGAGAGAAGCGTAGTATTCATGTCGTATACAGTGAGCGGCTTGAATAAGGAACACTTAGTTTTCAAAAGGGGCTCGGTCGTTCCTTGGGCTTGCGTGCGCTTTTTGTCGTTCCTCTTGCGTTATTTATGATTTATCATTCCTTCTGCGTTAGTCATTGGAGCGCAAGGGGCTTCGTGCCTTACTTTATCGTTCCTTACAGTCGGCCCTGATTCGTAGGTCGACCCGGCCAAATCAAGGGTACCCTTAGGTACCCTGGTGTCCTGTGCGTCGCAACCCATGCCTCCTACATCCCCCATGGCAGTGTGGCCCTCGGTCTTGTGTCCTCTCGCGTGTCCTGTCCAATCGAGGCCGACTGCAGGTCAGGCCGATGACTGTAATTGTCCAGGGGGCCGGGACACGAGACCAGCGGCCGGTGATTCTCCACGGGAGGTCCTCCAGAGGCAGGCCCCTGAGCCTCTCCAGGGCCTCCCCGCTCTCTCGGCGGCCAGTGGCAGACCTACTGGGCCGGGTGGGAGGTGCAGCGCGGAGGTGCGACGTGACGCCGACCTTACGCTGGGCGTGTCCCTCCACAGGAGGAAAATTCTGCAGAAATAGTCAACACATGGTAGGGGGACTTTTTTTGTGACTTTTTTTGATATTTGTAGGCTATTCTGTATTTTTCGTCCAAAGTCCGCCTGTAGGGTGACACGCCCGACCCACGGCGACGCCGACCCGAGCGGCGGGCAGGGGCGGATGCGGGCCAGCCGGAGTACCTCACCGCGCGCCTCGGGAGGATGAACATGGTGGCGACCGGCGACATCATAACCACCGAGGCCGCAGTCGGCTCTCCTCTTCCTCCTCCGCCGCCGCCCCACCGACCCAGGTGCTCCGACGCTGTGCCTCCTCCGCTTCGGGGATCGTCCTCGATGTCGGCCCCCTGGGTCCCGCTGCCAGGCCCGGGGGCCATCAGCGCTTATCCGGCTGCCCGCGGCAAACTCGGCCACCGTGCCAGCGCAACGGCGCAGCAGGAACAGGAGGCTCCGTGTAGGACCAGCGCAGTGACGACGAGTAGTCCGAATTGGGACGGGTCGTGATCCCGACGTCGTCTTTGGCTGGGAAGGGGTCAGGACCTCTTTGGCCGAGCGCTGTAAATCATATCGTCGTATGCCTGGGTCCGCCTCTGTGTTTCCCCCCATCTCCCCCTGCTCCCCCCCTTCCTGCTTTCTCCTCCCCCCTCTCTCCTCCCTTCTCCCTCCCCTGTTCCCCACTCCCCTCTCTCTCTCTCTCTCCTCCGCCTCCTCGCTTCTCCTCCCTCCTCCCTCCGCCTCGAGGGACGCCAACACGTTTGTGTGAATCCTTTTTAGGGACCTCGTTCCGTATTTAGGGTTCCTTAGGTCAACGCCCCGACCGTATATATATATATATATATATATGTATATATAATATGTGTATATATATAATATATGTGTACATATATATATATATATATGTGTGTACATACGCACACACAAACAGAAACCCATCCTGGGCTCAGGAACGGCCCAGCCAGAGTCGGGAAAGGCCAGCTCGGGAACCTCGAGACGGGGGTCGATGCCGCCGGAGGGGAACAAAAACACAGACACAATTGATCGTCTACCCCTAGGAAAATACGGGAAAATATCGATTCAGGAGGGGAAAAGAACATCGGAAAATATGGGGCATCCTGGGATTTGTGGGTATTTATTTGGTGTCCCTGGGCCCCTTCATCAATGCAAACGAGGGTCAGCCAGAGTGCCAGATCTTGCAGGATCCTGTTGCGCCAGCGCTGCACTGCCCTGGGTTATCGCGCAGGATCCTGCAGGATCCTGCAGAATCTTGCAGGATCTTGCAAGGCTCGACTGACCCGGGTTTGGATTGATCCGGGTCAGTACATCCCCGACCAGCGCCCTCCTACGTCCTTCTTCCCCCCTCCTCTCTCTCCTCCTGTGCCACGTCCCCGTCATCGAGGCGGGCGAGAAGCATCTGCAGGCCTTCACCCAGGGGTGCGAGGAGTGGATGTCATACCACGAGAAACCGGTCGCAGAGGAGAGCGGCTGCTCCTCTTCCTCCTCCTCCTCCTCCTCCCCATTCTCCTTCCATGAACTCTTTCGACCCCCCCCAAGAAACTCATGACCTGGTACATTCCCTTGGGCCCTCTCGACGCCCAAGAACAAGCAACGGCCTTCTGCCCCTAGGTTTCTTGCCGTTCTCCTCGTTTGTGTTTTTTGCCGACGTTCGGCGTTTTTTTGTTTGATTGTGTGGAAGCTCGCATACAAAGAGCTTCTTGTGTCTAGGCGAGGGCGCGTAACAAGATCCGGCTCAACGGATGCAGCGGTTCAGAACGAAGCCGAGGCGAGTGCGAGCGCAGAGACAGAAAGGTTGCATGGAATCGACGCATGCTACCGCAGAATGACAGATTTTACAAGAGTCGTTCTCTGTCTCCTCCTCCTCCTCCTCCTCCTCCTCCTCCTTCTCGTCCACCTCCACCTCCTCGACCTCCACCTCCTCCTCCGCCTCCATCCCCTCCTCCTCCTCCTCCTCCCTCCTCCTCCTCCTCCTCCTCCTCTTTTCCCCCTCCTCCTCGCCCTCTTCCCCGCCCTCTTTCCCCCCCCTCCTCCCCCCCCCTCCCCCTCCCTTCTTCCCTCTTCTCCTCCTCCTCTCCTCCTGCTGCTCCTCCCCTCCTCCTCCTCCTCCTCCTCCTTCCTCCGTCCTCCTCCTCCTCCTCCTTCTCCTCCTCCTCCTGCCCCTCCTCGCCCTCCTCCTCCTCCTCCTCCTCCTCCTCCTCCTCCTCCTCCTCCTCCTCCTCCCTCTCCTCCTCCGCCGGGCCGCCGCGCCCGCTCGGCGGGCACAGGGGCCGTGTTATGTTTTTCCGTCGTCTCCGCAACCTGCACAGGGGGGCGCCCAGGAGTCGGCGGCGGGCAGGAGGCAACGGGCGGAGGAGCGGCAGCGCAGGCGAGAGGAGGCAGGGGGGGCCCCCCCTTCCCACCAAGGTCTTCGCCCGGTGGAGGGGCAGGAAAGGTGTGCACAGCTGCAGGAGTTACCTTCCACCGCCACGAGTGAGTGAGTGACTGAGGGGGGGGGTGCGGTGGACGAGGGGGACGTTGGACAGGAGAAAGAGGACGGAGGACGGAGGAGGACGGAGGAGGACGGAGGAGGACGGAGGAGGGAGGGAGGAGGAGGAGGAGGAGGAGGAAAGGAGAGCAGGAGGAGGAGGAGGAGGAGGAGGAGGAGGAGGAGGAGGAGGAGAGGAGGAGGAGGAGGAGGAGGAGAGGAGGAGGAGAGGAGGAGGAGGAGGAGGAGGAGGAGGAGGAGGACGAGGAGGAGGAGGAGGAGGAGAAGGAGGAGGTGGAAGTGGAAGTGGATGTGAACGAGGGGGACGTATCAGGCGATCGCAAACACGGATCAAGGGGGCGTGGATTGGCGACGGGTCCCGTTACCATGGGGAGTCGCGGATTTCCGCCGCCGAGCGAGGCGGCACCGGCCGCATTTCGGGAGGGCACCTCCCCCGATCCATCTTTGCGCGCCCTCGAACGTGTTGGACAGGAGGAAGCGGACGAGGACGAGGAGGAGGAGGAGGAGGAGGAGGAGGAGGTAGAGGTGGAGGTTGAGGTGGAGGCGGGGGGGGGGGATGGATGAGGTGGACGAGGGGGGCGCATTTGACAGACTCCTGCTCCGCAGAGGCGGCGGCATTACCCATCGGTCGTCGAAAGTAGGTTTTTTTGGATTCCCATATTCCAATCTAGTTTAAGCACCTGCCTGCTTCAATGATCGAGTGGCTTCACCTCTTCCGTCCTCCCGGACGGAACCCAATCGATTTTCAATACATTCCTTCTTCATGTTTATAGCTACTTCTTCCAAACGATGGGTAGCGGAGAATGCACGGCAGACAGTATTGCGTAGATTGGTGGATCGCTCAGCGCATGCATGAGATGAGCACACACGCAGTGACGCGTCTGGCTAATGCAGAGATATTTCAGGCCGAAGGGCGAAAGGCAAGCGAAACGAGGGGGACCCAGTATTAGGTTTTCGATGTTTTCGGGCCCCCTCGGGGTGGGGGGTGTCGGACGGGGCTAGGACGAGAATCGATCCGTTCCAGAGCGTCCCGGAGCGCTCTGAGAAGGCCGCCGCGCCCCAGACATCTTCCAGAGCCGCGGGATCTCAGAGATTCTCGATGTATCCTCACCCAATTTTGTCCTCGTCCTGGCTTCGTCTTAGGGTGGGGCTCGCTCCTTCGGGAGGGCCCAACTCGAAGTCCCTGTCAGGAGGCGGTGCGCTCGAGGCTGGGTCTGCAGGCCGACCTTCGGGGGGAGCGGGGGGTGGAGGTCGGGGCGGCGGAGGCGTGGGTGGCGAGCGAGGAGGAGGAGGAGGAGGAGGAGGAGGAGGAGGAGGAGGAGGAGGAGGAGGAGGAGGAGGGCAGGAGGAGGAGGAGAGGATGGGAGGAGGAGGAGCAGGAGGAGGAGGATGAGGATGAGGGGGGGAGAAGGAGAGGAAGGAGGAGGAGGAGAGGAGGAGCAGGCAGGAGGAGGAGGATGAGGAGGACGAGGAGGAGGAGGAGGAGGAGGAGGAGGAGGAGGAGGAGGAGGAGGAGGAGCAGGAGGTGGAGGAGGAGGAGGAGGTTGAAAAGGTGGTGAAGGACGATGTTGCAATACAACTTCCCTGAAAGCTGCCTCTTCATAGGCCCCTACAAGGATTAATTTTTACTAGGGGAGGTGCCCCGTTGGAAGACAAGCGTTTGAAGTCCTGAACCGTACCAGAGCACCACTCCTGCTGCGTCTTGGCGATCCTGCATCGTACCAGAACGCAGTTTCTGGAATGTCCACACCGCGAGTCAACTTAATTGTTGCGCCCTGTCTGTCCCACGTCGTTGCGCAACACCCGTGAGACTCCGTAGCAATGCTGCAGACTTTTGAGACGAATGGGCGCGTCGCAAAGGCGAGAGCCACATTTGGAAAGGAACCGCCTTCCATCAGTGACATTCTCACGACGAATGTGCGCGGCGCTGGGGCGAGAGCCACATACAGGAAGGGAACCGTTCACCATCTGTGAAGCTCTTGCAAAGTATTAAGACGAGCGTGCGCGGCGCCAAGGCGAGAGCCTCATTTTGAAAGCGACCCGTGCAACTGTTGCCCATGTCAACGGTGACAGACGGTGAGAAAGTCTCAGGCGAAACGCCCCGACCGCCCTTCCGACACGTCTCGGGGTGCGACAGGGAGTTCTGTGTAAGGGGAAGGAATGGAGGGGATGGGAATGGACAAGGTGGAGATGTAGGGGGAGCAGGCTGAGGTGCAGCAGCAGCCGTGGAGGAGAAGCAGAAGGCGCCGTGAGCGATACCGCTCGGGCTGGGCGGCCTCCTGGCCGCAGTTGCAGCCTGCGGCTCGTTGGCCGACGGGAGGTCTCTGCTGAGGGTGGTCCAGGGGGTGGGGCGCAGGCCCGGGGGGGGGGGAGAGGCGGGGGGCTGTGTCCCGCCAGCTTGTAGAGCTGGCTTGAAGAATGGTTCGGCACCCATGTGCGCAGGACCACGGGGAGGATGACAGTCGGCCCGTGGCTCAAAGTGCCTGCTCGTCCCCGCGCGTGTCCGGCCAGGAGGAGGAGGCGGAGGAGGAGGAGGAGGAGGAGGCGCAGGAGGAGGAGGAGGAGGAGGAAGAGGAGGAGGAGGAGGAGGAGGAGGAGGAGGAGGAGGAGGCGGACGAGAAGGAGGAGGAGGGAGGAGGAGGCTGGAGGAGGAGGAAGAGAGTCCGTAGCACATGCCCCAGCCGCGAGGAGGATCTCGCCGCATACTCGGAGTTCGTCGGCGCCCTCCTCTCCGGGCCGCCCTTCCAGACGGAGAAGGACCTATCGTCTGTTGGTTCCACCGTGTGCAAAGCTTCCTCCGTGATTCTCTCCATCCTCGCTCTTCGCTGCTCTGTCCTGCGATCGCCCCTTCTCATCCCTCCCTCCTTCCCTCCTCCCCTTTCCCACCTTGCCCCCTCCTCGCATCTGCCGCCGTACCAGTTCCTCGTCCGTCCTCATACAGCGGAAACCCATGCCAAGAATCACCCTGCTTGCCTCCAGGGTGCCCTGGGTTTCTTGGGCTTCGATGGTTTTGCTATGGTACGCGTGGCGTTCCCATACCAACAAATCAATGGCGTCCTGGGTCTCAGGGTGGGGTTTCTTGTGGAAGGTCTCTTGCGGTCGAGCTCCTGCAGTCAACCCGCATAGCAAGGATGGGCAATGTTCCCAAGGGTACCCTTGCATCCTTGTCTGCTCGGTCCATCCTTGGCCACTTTCGCTGGCTGCGCCCTGCTCGAAAAGCTTCGAAAGGCCTTCCAAGGCCCTGGCATCCTTATCGTGCATCGTTCTGATACGGGCCGAATCTGCTGTAGGGTTTTTTTCTCCTCTTCCGTGTTTCCCTGCTCCCTTGCTTTTACCTTCGTCACGGGTGCAATGCCGAGCGGACGCATGTTTTCTTCTGAGCGTCCCACCCTTTGCGGGGGTTTCTCGCGGTCACTGCCCCCATCCGGAGCAGCAGCACATGGGGGCGAAAACGTACGAGGCGGAGGAAGGGAGGGGGGACAACACCTACCTACCTAGCTGACACACGAGCCATACTGTGCTTTGCCGTTTCGATGTGGCGACTGTTTTGGTGAGGCCGAGCGACTCGTGCTACTCTTTTGGACGCGATTGCTACTCATACCACCAGTTCTATGGTTTCGCTTACACCTAAAGCTACACTACCACTCTTAAGACTACTACTATTAATACGTAATGCTAGCACTGTTGCGATAACTGCAAGTATTAGAGTGCTACTAATACGTAGTGCTAGCACTACTTGTGCTACTCGTGCTACCTACTAGCACCCGTCCTACTCGTGCTAGTAGTGCAGTCAATCGACGTGTGCTACTAGTAGTAGTACCACTACCATCGTTCCTGCTGTCACTAGTACTGCTACTGATACCAGGTCTGCTGGTACCGCTAGAACTGCTGCTAATACCAGTGCAACTACTATGGCTCCGACTACTGCTGTCACCACCATCGCTACTGCCAGTGCTGTTGCTGCTGCGCGCGAGTCCGTCCTGGTCCAGGCCGCACGGCCTGGGCCCAAAGGCATGGTGCCAGAGCAGCAAGACGGCCTCTGGCCGTCTTGGTTCATCCCGCGGGTGTTTGCAAGTAAATCGGACACTGGAACATCTACATTACCAGTGGTGGGCTGTTTTTCAATCCCAGGATTTTTTGATGGTCGGGGACGACGCTGGGGTGGTGTGGTGTACTTTTTCCCCGATGTCCCGGGGAAACATTTTAAAATGTACACACCAGGGTCCCGTATACGCCAGGATCCGCTCTCCAGTGCAAATTTCAATGCAGGGCCGGAAAAAGCGTCGGTGTATAGAGTTCGACTCCCTAGTAAAGGTGGCCCCCCGCAGGAGAGCAGCGCTAGAACACCCAACGCCCGGGCTTCTCCGAGTCAGGCGTCAGTGGTGGGCGTCGCCCATGGTCCGCCGGCGCGTGCAGACGGCAGCCGCGTGGGGCGCCGCAGAGTGCCAACCAAAGGACTCCCGTGGGCCCCTGGGCCCCTGACCCCTGGCCTCCTTTTTACCCTCTGGGCCCTCCTGGCCACAGTGCGCGGTATGCCCCCTACCCTCCCCCCCCCATGACGCAGCGCTCCCCCCCCCCTCAGTGCGTCCCTGGCACTGCCGCAGTGCGTCCGGCACTACAGTCTGGGGAGGGGGCCGCTACGTTATGCCCCCCCCCCCCCCTCGCCCCCGCCGTGATGGCTTGCATCCCTTGCCATCCTGTCGTTTCGGCTCTGGAGCCTGAACGTGGCCCACAGAAGGCCGATCGGTGCATGAGCGTCGCCATCGTGAAGTTCTCGTCGAGCCCCGACACTTCGGGGAGCGAGGAGAACGGCAACATGGTAAGGGAAGAGCCTGCTTACGCCCCCTCCCCCTCCTCCAGAAAGCCCTTTGCTTGGCATCGCTTGGACGCGTGCATTTTTCCTTCGGCGAGGATCATCGAGGAGCATCCTTGACCATGAGGCGAAAAAGCCTCGCACGAAACCGACAAAGCACAGAGAATGGACGTCCGAGCGATGGCAAGTTTGGGGCCGCGAATGAACACGACGCGCTCTTGCGCGTCGCGTCTGCGGGGCCTCTTCGCCCGACAAAGGGGCCGCTGCGGGCACGTGGCGGCCCCTTTTGCGCACGCAGAGGCGGTGCCTGCCCGCGCGGGAGGCAGCGTCGGCGCGGGCCCCCGTGAGCCTGGTGCCCCCAGAGGGCGGTCGTCGGGGCCGGCGAAGAGGGGGGTGATGACTAGGGGGGGGTGGATCTCATGGCGTGGGCCATGACATTTCCCCAGATTTCATGGCGCCTCCTCTCATTTCACTATACGCCCCTAGCCAGCCTCCCCCCCCCAGGCCGCGCACATGCCGCCGATCACGATCTGCACCCCCCCCTTCTTGGACGCCCCCCTCTCTTGGCCTCGCCCCCGAGGTCGGGGCCACCCATATGTGCGGGCCTGCCGGTGCTGGAGAGGATGGGCCAGCTTGGGACCTCATTCTTCCGATCCAGCGGGCAGAGGGGGATAGGGGGAGGGGGGAGTGCTTCTTAGAAGCACCCCTGCTTCTTAGAAGGTGCGGGCCTTGTCTGTAGATGTAAGGCCGGCGCCTTCTAAGAAGCAGCTTGCTTCTAAGAAGCCCTCCCCCCTCCCCCCACCCCCTTCTGCGTGCCGCCAAGTATCGTCGGAAACTGGAACATCTACATTACCAGTGGCGGGCTGTTTTTCAATCCGAGGACTTCTTGAGGGTCGAGGACGACGCCGGGGTGGTGTGGTGTAGACGTTTTCCCCGATGTCCTGGGGAAGCGACGAAAAATGTATACACCACGGTCCTATGTATACCAGGATCCGCTCTCCAGTGCAAATTCCAACGCAGGGCCCGAAGAAGCGTCGGTGTATAAAGTTCGGTTCCCTATATCGTTGAACCGACCCCAATCCCCATCCCCATCTCCTTCGAGGCCCCCACCAGGTTACCCCCCCAGTTGGGGATACACCCCTCGAAACCCGAAGGGAAGGGAACGGCCTATATCCCCATCTAGGGGGGTAATCGGCCAGTGGGGCCTAGGCCACGCCGCTGGGGATGGGGTCGGATAAACGATGCTCATGGATGCTTTCGGGAAGGAAGAGGTACCCCTACCGCTACCCTTCTCAGAAGGCGGCGCGACCGCTCAGAAGCCCTCGCGCCGTCTGAGAAGTTTTCTGCGTCTCCGGGGAAGGCTGAGAGAACTTCTCAGAAGGCCGGGGGACTTCCGAGCCTTCTAAGAAGGCCCGCCCCTTCTCACTTCTCCCCCGCGCTCGCAGCCAGTTTGTAGCCCCGTTTAGAATAGAAGGACAAGGTGAGGCGGCTCGCCAGAGCCTGTCTCTCCCGCGCCGCTCGAGTCCGTCCGCGTTTTGAGGTGAGGCGTCGTTATGCCAAGCTGGTGTGTGGTCTGGAGGCACGCCTGCAAAGCCCTCCAGTGAAAAGGGGGTGCGAGGAGGACGAGAGGGAAAAGGAGGATGACGATGAGGAGGTTGAGGTTGAAGACAGGACACGAAACCTGAAAGGCACCATGGCAGCGCATCGAGACGTTTAGTCGAAACTCGCCACAGACGAATCAACCCTCATCTTTCCTCCGTCTCCTCATCCCCCCTCCACCTGCATCGTTCTTTCCTCATCTTCCCCGGTTGTGCCCTTCCACTCGACCCCGAGAAAGTGAGTTCTCGCTTCTCCTTCGAGTAGGGGATCGACTGCATAATTGATTTACCCCTAGATTGATTTGTTCCGTCGAGCCTACGAGAATACGTAGAATGCTCCGCAGATCCACGGAGCATTTTATGTAAGATTTTTGTTGTTGATTGTTTTTGTGTTGTAAATATTCGGCGAGAAACAAGTAGGGGGTGAGTCAATTCTGCAGTCGACCCCCTACTCGATTCTTCGCGCCCTGCTGAACCAGGAGTACGAGCAGGCGATCAACGCCGTCCGGAGGGGAGCAGGGACATGGGCCCTCCTCCAGGGAGGCAGGTCGTCGTGGGCGCCGCTGTGTGCCACTGCGTTGGGCAGGAGGAGGAGGAGGCGGTGGATGAGAGTCGGACGGGGATGGGACGAGGACGCAGAGGAGGAGGAGGAGGAGGATGAGGAGGAGGAGGAGGAGGAGGAGGAGGAGGAGGAGGAGGACCGTGTAAACCCAAGAGGCAGCGACGATGTTGGAATGAAACCTCCAAGCTCCACCTGCATAGGTCCCTACAGCGGTTCATTATCACTGAGGGAACTGCCTCGTTAGAAGACAATTGTTTGAAGACCCTGAAGCATGCCACACATTGTTCTCGGGATTCCAGCGCCACGGATCAACCTGACTGTTGCGTCTTGACGGTCCTGAATCGTGCCAGAACGCCATGCTTGGGACTTGAAGAACGTGAATCAACATAACTTTGTACCCTGGTGAGCCTGAATCCTTCCAAACACCATATCTGGTACGTCGATCATGGAAATCCGTGCAGCTGATGCACATGTTTAAAACAACTGTGCGCGGCGCCAAGTCGAGAGCCGTATTTTGAAAAGGAACCGCCCTCAATCCGTGAAGCTCTTGCACACGTTTACGACTAATGTGCGCGGCGCTAAGGCGATAGCCACATTTTGAAAATGACTCGCCCTCAATCCGTGAAGCTCTTGCACACGTTTACGACTAATGTGCGCGGCGCTGAGGCGATAGCCACATTTTGAAAACGACTCGCCCTCAATCCGTGAAACTCTTGCACTTTTTGTTAACGAGTGTGCGCGGCGCTGAGGCGAGAGCCACATTTTGAGAACCATTCGCCCTCAATCCGTGAATATTTTGTATTTTCTGAAACGAATATGCGCAGCGCTGAGGCGAGAGCTACATTTTGAAAACCAGTCGCCCTCAATCCGTGAGGCTCTTGCAATTTGCTTGAACGAATGTGCGCGGCGCTAAGGCGATAGCCAGATTTTGAAAACTACCCGCCCTCCATCTGTGAAGCTATTGTCACTGTTGAAGCTTCAGAGTCATGGTGAAGAAGTCTCAGGCCAAACGCCGGGCCCGCCCTGAAAACTGGCCTCGGGGTGCGACAGGGATAATTTATTTATAAGGAGAAGGAATGGAGAAGGAGGAGGAGAAGGAGGAGGAGGAGGAGGAGGAGAGGGAGCAGGGACGTGGGCCCTCCTCCCCCTGCTCCCCCCTCCTCCTCATCCTCCTCCTCCTTCTCCTCCTCGTCGTTCTCCTCCTCCTCCTCCTCCTCCTCCTCCACAATTTCACAATCTGAATGCTACTCTCCTCTCTCCCTTGGTGACGTCCGGGAAATGGCCGGCCCCCCTTCGCGTACTGTTTTTTACACAGGATTTCCTGGAAACGGGTTTTCGTTTTTTTGCTTGTTTTCAAAATTCTGCTCTCGCTGAGGCGCTGGCTTCATTTTCGGGCCACCTCTCGTTCTGAATTGTGCTCCCGCTGCAGCGCTGGCCTCATTTCCGCGCTTCCGCTCGTTCCGAATCGTGCTCCTGCTGCAGCGCTGGCGTCACTATTTCCAGCGCAATGCCACGGCGTGGTTTTCGGTCCGTCCAAATCGACTCCAACATCTAGAAAATGCCCACTTGAAAAAAAAACCATCGGAAATGATTCCACATTCGGTGCCGATTCGTCAACTTTTTGGGTCGCAGAAGCCCCTCTCCCACTTTGGGGCGACGCCACGCCATGCTATGTCAGGCTCCGCGTCCTCCGAATCGTGCTCCCGCTGCAGCGGTGGCCTTATTTCCGCGCTTCCGCTCGTTCCGAATCGTGCTCCCGCTGCAGCGCTGGCGTCATTATTTCCAGTGCCATGCCACGGCGTGGTTTCGGTCCTTCCAAATCGGCCCCTAATCTAAAAATGGCCCCCGGGAGAAACAACCGGAAGGGATTACACATTCGGTGCCGATTCGTTGATTTTTTGGGCCGCAGAAGCCCCCCCCCATTGGGGCGACGCCACGCCATGCTATGTCATGCTACGCGTTGATCTTCAACACCATGCTATGCCGTGTAATGCTATGCCATGTTACGACATCCGATTGAGCGGATTGAGAAAGAAGATATCTACGCCATGGTAAGGCATGGGATGGGGGTATAACGTCAGATATGACGCGAGCGCACCTAGCTTGTCCTCCTCCTCCTCCTCCTCCTCCTCCTCCTCCTCTCCTCCTCCCCCTCCTCCTCCTCCTCCTCCTCCTCCTCCTCCTCCTCCCCCTCCCTCCTCCTCCTCCTCCTCCTCCTCCTCCTCCTCCTTCTCCCCCTTCCTCCTCCTCCTCCTCCTCCTGCTCCTCCTGCTCCTCCTCCTCCTCCCCCTCCTCCGTTCCAGAGCGTTCCTGAACGCTCTCAGAGCTTTGCGGAACGCTCTGGGCAGGCCGCGGCGCCTCATGCACCCTCCACGCCCTCGGCTTCTCGAAAGGCTTCCTGTCCGTATCGGTGCAGTGCTGTCTCGACTTCGCCTCCGGGCCAGAGTCGGATGGAGGATGGAGGGAGGCAGCAGGAGCACACGGGGAGAGGGGCTGGGGGAGGAGGGCGAGAGCGCAGGGGCGGAGGGCACGGGATGGTGACGGGGAGGGCGAGGCGAGGGCGCGCCGAGCGCGGGGGCTGTACGTGCGGTGCTGGGCGGTGGCACGGGTTCGGCGCACGGTGTCTCCTCTCGCTGCTCTGTGCTCTCCTCCTCCCCTGGCGTTCAGTCGGGCACGTCCCTCTGCAGGAGGAATGTTCAAAAGTAGCAAGGACATGGCCCAGGGAGTATTTTGTGCGTCTTTTTGGGCATTCTGGACTTTGTTGTTGTTGTTCTTCTTGTTGTTGTTGTTGTTGTTGTTGTTGTTGGTGTTCTTGTTGTTGCTGTTGTTATTGTTGTTGTTACTGTTAGTGCTGTTGCTGCTGTTGTTGTTGCTGTGGTTGTGGTTGTTGTTGTTGTTGTTGTTGTTGTTGTTGTTGTTGTTGTTGTTGAACATTATTTCTTCTTAAGAATAATTATTGTTGGGGCCCCTGGTGCGCGACCCCCCCGCCGCGCCTAGGCCGCAGCTACATTTTCATCATTTTCGTGAGGAAGCCTCGGGTAATACGATGTCATCAAGATCCGGTTGTTTTGTTCCCCCCCGCTGTCCCTTGCAAAAAACACTATAAAATGAAATTTCTTGTTCTAAAATAACCAAACTTCAAGAATCCCTTGCAAAAAATAAGGTAAAGTGGACATTCGCGCGCGCAAGACGAAATCCTTCCAAAACCTTAGTTTTCGTAGCGATTTTAACATAAAAAACATCAAAAAACCAATGGTTTTTCAAAAAAAATGTCAAAATTTCATCCCGCGCGCTCTTGCGGATTCGTAGGAAACCCAACACTTTTTAAACATTTCTGTCAAACGGGCTTTTGCGAGCAACTTTTTCGAACTTCTGCAACAACGGTTGCGCACCTGCCAGGGCCATCATCCCTGTCAAATAATACCATGCGGGACACATGTCGTTTTTTCATTCGAAACCATGCGCCAGTGTAGTAGCCACGGTCGTCCGCATGCCACGAAGTGAAGTGTCCGAACGTCATAGGGCGGGAAGCTGGGTGTGGGTGGTGGCGAAGAGTCGTTCGGAAATATGGTAGAGCTTGAACCGGCCCCCCCACAAAGTGGGGGTATTGGCGGGCGTCGTATGAAAACCCTGGCACTGGTGAGAACACTGAGCGTTCGGGTAAAATGATTGTTGTTGTTGTTGTTGTTGTGGTTGTTGTTGTTGTTGTTGTTGTTGTTGCTGTTGTTATTGTTGTTGTTGTTGTTGTTGTTGTTGTTGTTGTTGTTGTTGTTGTTGTTGTTGTTGTTTCTGCTGCTGCTGTTGTTGTTGTTGTTGTTGTTGTTGTTGCTGTTGCTGTTGCTGTTGCTGTTGCTGCTGCTGCTGCTGCTGCTGATGTTTATCGCCCAAAGTCCCCCTGTAGGGGGACACGCCCGAGCTAACCCTGGCAGTTTTTTTCGATCCCGCGTACAACCCCGAGTCGAACCGGGTCGGGAGTCTCTCGGGCTGGCTCAGAGTCCGGGGCCGCAAGAACTGGCGCTCTGCCCTTCGCAGGTGGCCAACCTGGGGAACTGTAGAATGGAACTCGACTTGGCTTTCCTGTAGGACAGAGCCACACAGCGGCACTTAGAGCGGCACTCGCGCTTGTGGCTCCGATGGGGTCGGTGGTCTCACTCACGCGCCAGGCCGCCAGTGGCCGCTATTGGCTGCGAGCGGCCACTACGGGCCGCCAGTGGCCGCTGGTGTCCGCTACATGGCCGCTACATGGCCGCTTGTGGCCGCTGTAGGCCGCCAGTGGCCACTAAATGGCAGCTACTCCAGATTTCGTAATGAAAGGGAGGGGGTCAGGACCCTCCAAGACGAGCCATTTCAGACCTCCCCAGTGGGAGAAGCCTCCAAAACATCGTCCCCAGACCCCCCAGGCCCTCCAAGATAGCCTGGAAGAGACTCCCCCCGAAATGAGACCCCTCTCCCTTTATTACGAAATCTGGAGTGACTTGCGTCAAAATGGCCGCCAGTGGCCGCTCGTGGCCGCCAGTGGCAGCTAAACGGCCGAGAGGCCGTGGCCGCTACATGGCCGCTGCATGGCCGCTGAGTGGCCGCGAATCGCACGCGCTAGGTGGCCGCTCGTGGCCGCTACCGGCCGCTGGTGGCCACGGAGTGCGGCGAAATGGTAGTTTTCAGAGGTCGCGGTGGTCAGCGCGACGTTCCCCAGAGAGGCTACATTACCCTTCCGAGCGCCTGCAGCTCCAGCCCGACATCTTGCCTCCGCCGCCACCGTTCATCGTCTCCCCTGTTGCCACCCCGTGTTGCGCGGCGCCGGGGAGGAAACGGTACAGAATGACGCTTTCCAAGCCGCAGATCGTTCGCGCCTACTACCGGCTTCGCGACGAGGGTCGCATCGAGCGACACGCCATGTTCGAGCGCATCACCACCAAGAAGGATTGTTTTTTTATGTTCTCTCTCTCTCTCTCTCTTTCTCGATATGGAACACGCCTACGGCGAATCACTGCCGCCCCCTGCCCTTTCGGAAGCGCCTATGTGGCCGAACGTTGTGGCCATAGGCCTGCCAAGCTATCGGACCATGTGTTCCCCCCAAGTCGGTTTGGAAAGCGTTCGGGGAACACGGTGGGGGAGGAGGAAGGGAAGGAGAGGGAGGAAGAAGGAGAAGGGAGGAGGAGGCCTCTTGGGAGCCTCTTGGGCTACTCTAGGGTTTTATTGGGCTATCTTTGCGGTCTTAGAGGCAACTGTCTTGGAAGCCATTTTGGGGCAATATTGAAGTTTCTTGGGGCCATCTTGATCATCTTGGACGCATCTTGGAGGCCATCTCTCGCCACGCTGGCCGTCTTGGAGGCGTCTTGGGACCGTCTTGGAGGCCATGTTGGTGCTATCTTGGGCTCTCTTGGAGCCTCTTGAGGGCCTCTTGAGGCCTTTTTGGGACTTCCCGGGGGCCTCTTTGGCCGTCTTAGGGCGTTCCTGGCCCGTCTGACGCCGTCGGGAGCCGTCTTGGGGGCCTATCTGAACCGGCTTGGGGCCCTCTTGGGGCGCTTCGGGACCGTCTTGGAGGCCATTTTGGGCGTCTTGGAGGCCTCTTGGCCCGTCTTGGGACCCTTTTGGGGCCGTCTTGGGTGCCTCTTGGCCCGTCATGGGGCCCTCTTGGAGGCCTCGTGGGCGATCTTGGGGCGACTGGGCCTCTTGGGCCGTCTTCAGCCGTCGGAATGTCGAGAAGAAGCAAATGCCAGAATCCTCCAAAACCTAAGGAAAAAATGAGTTTGCCCTCTTCGGGCCCTCCTGGAGGACCTCTTGGAGGCCTCTTGGGTCGTGTTGGGCCGTCTTGGAGGCTTCTCGGGCGACCTTGGAGGTATCTTGGACTCTCATGGGCCGTCTTGGAGGCCGTCTCGGACCATCTTGGGCGGACTTGGAGGCCATCTTGGACTATCTTGGTGGCCATCTTGGGCCAACGTGGCCATCTTGGAGGCCATCTTGAGCCGTCTTGGAGGATTTTTTTGGGGATTGAGGTCCTGGGCAACTTTTCGGGTGGCCGGCGGGACGGGCCGAAGCCCCAGGGGGAGTTCTTTTGAAAAGAACCAAAACCAAAACCTACATGGTTCAGCACGCCAGGTACCCCTGTGATGAATCAACAGGGGGCGGCGGATTGATTGACCTTCGGCCCATGCCGCCACCGCGCCTGGGTCGTGGGTATGAAGCTTATTGGATGTTCGTTGGGATCTCGTGGGAGGCTTCTCGGATGCCTCTGGAAGGCAGTTTGGACGCCTCTTTGGGCCAGTTTGGGGGTTTCTTTTGGGCCTCTTGGGTGCCTCTTGGGGCCTTTGGGGGGCTCTTGGGGGCCTCTTGGGGCCTCCTGGGCACCTCTTGGGGCCGCCTCCTGGGGCGGAAGGGTCATATTCGATTCGTGTTCCCTCTTTTGGGATCCTTTTGGGGCCGTCTTGGGGCCCTCTTGGGCCGTTTTGGCCGCCTCTCGGCCTCTCGGGCTGTCTCGGGGCCCTCTTGGGCTGTCTTGGGGCCCTCTTGGAGTGGAGGCCTGTTGGGCCGGGCTGGGGTGGCCTTGGGGGCCTCTAGGGCCGCCTGGGAGCGTCGCGGAGCCGAAGTGGCTAGAACGCCAACACCTTCCAAACACTTCTTTTCGTCAGTGGCGAGACGGCGACATCCGCTCCAGCGAGAAGCTAGATGGGGGCACTAACTAGCGAATCGGCTGGCGAGCAAAGAGGGAAGGGGGACGGCCGAGAGGAAGAAGGGGCGCTCAGACGCCGAAGAGTTCGACGATGAGCAGCCGGGCGGGCAGCAGCAGCCAGGAAAGCCTCCCAGACACCAAGAAGGAACAACAAGCGGGAGGACGCCTGGGCGGCGGGCGGGCGGAGGGAGCCCCCCCCCGCCCTGAGCTCTGGCGCGCGACGCGCGCTTGCGAGGCGGTCCGCTCCAACTCCGGCGTGGTGGTGATCACGCTCCTTACCGCGCCAGGCGGCCTCTCTGGGTCGTCGTCCTTCGAGGAAGAGGAACTGCCATGCAGTGGAGGCCCATGCCAAGAAGCACCCTGCCTGCCTCCAGGGTGACCCTGGGTTTCTTGGGTTTCGATGGTCTTGCAATGGACAGCGCGGCGCTCCCACACCAAACATTCAAGGAACGTCTTGGGGTCTCAGCGTTGGGTTTCTTGTGGAAGGTTTCTTGTGGACTGGCTTCCACTGTAAGCATCAGCTTTTGGCGCTCCGCGCGGGTTTCTCGGATCCGCGCTCGTCGTCGTCGTTCGAAATTCGGAGGTTGATAGACCTCCTACCCTGACACGCCGATCAGCGAATTGGCCGTTTTCGGTTCGCGAGAGGGCGTCGCGGCCGTCTTTTTTGCGGGTCTAGGTCCGTCGGTTTCGGTCCTAGGCCGTTTTCACTAAAGGGTGGTCAAAGGGAGGTTGTCCACCGCCGAAAGAAACGCCATAAACATACACTTTTTGGCGCTCCGCGCGGATGGGTCCAGCGCCGATCCAAGAAATCCGCGCAGAGCGCCAACAGTTGATGTTTATGGCTTTTTTCCGTCGTCTAGTCGTCGCCGTCGTTGTTCTAGGCCTCCCACATGGGGTCGGAGTAGATGGGGTCGCAGGACCGCGCCGCGTCGCCGATGCATCGGCGATGCGGCTTGATGCGGAGCCGATCTTCTCCACGCCGCCGACGTCGCCGATGCACCACCGACGTCGCCGATGCACCACGGATGCATCGCCGATGCATCGCGTATGCGGCGCAGTCCTCCCGCCTTATCTGTTCGGACCCCATCGAGGAGGCCCCTAGTCGTCGAAGTCGTCTGAGCTGCGACGGTTTCGTGTCTCTGTGCCTTGAAGATCGGCGATCCTGTCCGCGTGTCCGCGCCCTCGCGGATCAGGCTCCGTGGCGCGGTGCCGCGGAGATGCGGTGGCACGGACACGTTTCTGCGCGGGGCAGCCGCGGAACAGTGCCCCGTGCAGTGGAGGCCCATGCCAAGAAGCACCCCGCTTGCCGCCAGGGTGCCCCTTCGGTATCTTGGGTGTCGACTGTTCTGCTATGGAGCTCGCGACGTTCCCACGCCGAAGAACAAGGGACGTCCTGGGGTCTCAGGGTTGGGTTTCTTGTGGAAGGTTTCTTGCGGTCGGGCTCCTACTGTATCCGCGGGGTCGTGGTCCAGGGGCCCTGTCCGCGAGGCCGCGGGTACGGATTTGTTTTTTCTCGCCCACGATGACCTCTCCCCCTTTGCCCGTTTTTTCTGCCCCTGCGCTCCGTGGGCTGCCCGCGCGCAGGTCAGAGGCTAGTATTAAGTGGGCCTGTCCCTCTCCAGGAGGAGTATTCAGAACTAGTCAACAAATAGACTGGGGCCGATTTTTAGATTCTTTCTGACTGTAGTTGTTCTCCAGAATCCGCTTGTAGGGGGACATGCCCGACCTAGGGCTAGTACTTGCTTGATCTGAGGGCTTTCTCAGAGATGCTATCACTTCAGGCGTTGCTGCACACACCGTAATCACGGGGGCCCGGACCCACCCGAGGGAGCTCGGGAGCACGCAAGGAAGTCGAAGTCGTCGCAGCAGCGTCGATTTCGATCCGATCGATCCGATTCGATACCAATTCTTAGGCTTACCCCACACCGCCGACCCCTTTGCTTGTTTGGGGGGCTTCCTGGGGTCCCCGGGGCACGTTGGGGGCGCCTTGGAGCCGAAGGTTCGAAATCGGCCGGACCGGGCTCCGGGCGGAGGGGTTTGGGGAGGGGGAAGCATCTCACACGCCGATGATCCCCAAGGGGTTTCGGCGGATTCTGCCTGGCCCGATCCGATGCGGTTCCGGCATCCCGACGATGCCATGCGGTCCGATGGTCGCGTGGTGTTGTTGCACGTCCTTGCGCAGCCGATCCGATGCGATTTCGGCGACGTGCCCCTGCAGCCTGTTCCGACGCACACCTCGATTCGATCCGATCCGATTTCACGATTCGGTGCCGACGGATTCTGTCGAAGTCGAAGCCTCCGCGTCGTGGAACACATGTTGTTGACGTCCGTCGCCTGTTCTGGGCCTCCGTGGGGCCTCCCGTCGCCCTGGCTGGTTCTCCGCCTCGAAGTTCTGGTCAGAACGCACCCTGGGACAGTTCCAAGAGGAGGAGGAGGAGGAGGAGGAGGAGGAGGAGGAGGAGGAGGAGGAGGAGGAGGAGGAGGAGGAGGAGGAGGAGGAGGAGGAGGAGGAGGAGGAGGAGGAGGAGGGAGGGGAGGAGGAGGGGAGGAGGAGGAGGAGGAGGAGGAGGAGGAGGAGGAGGAGGAGGAGGAGGAGGAGGAGGAGGAGGAGGAGGATGGGTCGACTTCTGCCCCCCGCCTCGGAATGAACACCACCTCGTGCGGATTCGGCAGCAGGGCTGGACCCAAACGCTGTTCTGCCGGACTCCGGCCGTGTTCTGTTGTGCGCTCGGGCAGGGAGGGGTACAGGAAAACGGGCAGAGCAGAACGATTAGCAAAACGAAGCCACAACAAAAACCAGCGCTCGGGTCCAGCCCTGTTGGGCAGCACAGGCCGGCGCGGGCGTGCCACGGGGCCCGGCCCGGCCCTCCGGCCCTCCAGCCCGGAGCCGGGGGTCCCCACTAGGGGGGGGGCCGGAGGCGGCCGAGCGGCCGAGAGGAGGGCCGCGGCCGGAGGAGAGGGAAGAAGGCAACCTCGGGCGTTGCGTCTGCCGGGCCGGACGAAAGGGGGGATTGGGGAAGGGGGGGTTACGAAATCTGCTGCATGCAGCTGGTTTCGGCCTCACCGAGGGGCCCATTCCTCGATACATAGCTGCCTCCAGCGCCGGGAGGCGCCGGGAAAATCAGCTACGTGAGCTGATTCTCACCCCCCCCCTTTGCTATCCCCCCCCTTTCGCCTGACCCGAGTCTGCGGGGGCGGTGACGACAGATTTACCTATTTCGGAGGTTGGTAGACCTCCTACCCTGACACGTCGATTAGCGAATCGGCCGTTGGGTTTCTTGTGGAAGGTTTCTTGTGGACTGGTTTCCACTGTAAGCATAAACTTTTGGCGCTCCTCGCGGATTTCTCGGATCCGCGCTCGTCGTCGTCGTTCGAAATTCGGAGGTTGATAGACCTCCTACCCTGACACGCCGCTCAGCGAATCGGCCGTTTTCGGTTCGCGAGAGGGCGTCGCGGCCGTCATTTTTGCGTGTCCAGGTCCGTCGGTGTCGGTCCAAGGCCGTTGTCACTCAAGGGTGGTTTACTAAAGGAAGGTTTGTCCACCGCCGACTATTGTGCATCTTTTTCGAAGAAGAAAGAACGCCACACGCATAAACTTTTCGCGCTCTGCGCGGATTTCTTTTATCTGCACTGGACCCCCTCCCTGGCGCGCGGAGCGCGCCAGGGAGGGGGTCCAGCGCAGATCCAAGAAATCCGCGCGGAGCGCCAAGAGTTTATGTTCATGCCGTTTTATTTCTTTCTACGTACGGGGCTCAAAGGGGCCCCCAGGGGGCCAAAAGGGGAACGCAAGGCGCAAGCTTCTTCGCCCCGCCCGTCTTACAGCCAAAGCCGTAGCAAGGCTGCGCTGCTTCATCGGGGCTAGTTACCCTTGCATCTCCGCTCGTTTGGGCCATCTCGATCCGATCTTGACGTCCAGGGAGCTCCAAAGGGTGAAGGGGACTTCCACGGGTCTTGCCTCCTTTCCTTGCACCCTTCCTATGGAGTTTGATTGTATCGCCCCCCCACTCGGCAATGCCTTGGATGGCGCGGACACCCCTCAAACGGCCCCCATCTGATTACCGGCGCCTCTAGTTCAAACCGCCCATTCCGCAAATTGCCTTTAACTCAAACCGCTAGATGCCGCAACTTTCCTCAAATCGCATGACGCAATGACGCGCTGTTGGTGACAGTTTCGTGGACGCCTGACGTCAATGCCCAACGCGCAGAGGCTGGCACCAGCGCCCGCGTGTGCGGCAGGCTACGCGGCCCCCTGCCGCCCTCGCAGGGCCACGGCCCCAGACGTGCCCGCTCCCACGGGCCTGCCCACGCCATCCTGTGCCGCGCACCTTGCCTCGGGGGGGGAGGAGGGGGAGGAGAGAAGGAGGAGGAGGAGGAGGAGGAGGAGGAGGAGGAGGAGGAGGAGGAGGAGGAGGAGGGAGGAGGAGGAGGAGGAGGAGGAGGAGAGAGAGGAGGAGGAGGAGGAGGAGGAGGAGGAGGAGGAGGAGGAGGGGGAGGCCCGCCGCGCGCACTGCTGGGCGCCTCGTGGGCGCCCCGTGCGCTGGGTGGGTTGCAGAGGTCGCGCCGCGTGGCCGCCATCGCGGGCGCCTCGCGGGGGCCCCAGGCGCCTCTGGCTGGCTTCCCGAGGTTGCGCCACGTTGCCGCCTCGCGGCCGCCTCGTGGGCGCCTCGTGGGCGCCTCGTGGGCGCCTCGTGGGCGCCTCGTGGGCGGCCCGGGAGCCGGGTGGGTGTCCCGAGGTTGCGCCACGTGGCCGCCGCGTGGGCGCCCTCCTGGGCGCCCCGTGTGCCGGGGGTGGTCTCCCGAGGTTGCGCCACGCTGTCGCCTCGTGGGCGCCTCGTGGGCGCCGGGTGCCCTCAGTTTTCATGGCGTGACTTGCCTTACGCACACACTGCATGGCTGGCGTGCACCGTGTATCTTCCATCACGTGGCTTGCGCCCCACAGCTTCCACCTCCAGCTCACGCCGCACATCTCACACGGCATGGCATGCACCACATAGCTTGCACCGCCGAGCCGTCATCCCTGTAGTTCACACCACATCGCTTACACGGCATAGCTTCCACCACACCGCTTTCACCGCATAGCTTTCACCTCCACAGTGCAATATCGCACTGTTTGGGATTCACGTTGGCTATCATGCGTGTTCTGAAGTCCTTCTAAGATCATGCGACGGCATAACATACCTTTCGGAGTTCTGCGCAGATTCCTGGAATCGGCGCTGCGCCTCATTGCGGCGCCTCCGGCGCCCAGAGGGGTGTCCAGCGCCGATCTGAGATGTCCTCGCGGAGCTCCGACAGCTTGCAGTAGGCTCGTGCCGTGTCGAGGCGGCGGCGACCCCATCGCGAGCGTTCAAGGCGGATCGCCGTCAGTTGCCCAGAGTCGGCCAAGATGGCACACTCGGGCGATCGAGGGGCTGCCGATCGTTCAAGGTCAAACGAGCCACGCGGTGTCAGAGACCAACGCTGGGGTCGTCAATCGGCCGCGAGCATGGGGCGGAAGTGAGAAGAGGCGGGCCTTCTCAGATGGCTCGGAAGTTCTCGGGGAAGTTCTCTGAGCCGTCCCCGAAGACACAGACGACTTCTCACAGGGCCAGGGGGCTTCTGAGAAGCCCTGCGCCGCCTTCAGAGAAGGCCCTCTCCTCTCTTCCCCCCTTGCTCGCCGCCGAGTCGCGACACGAGCCTGCCGTGTGTGGAGGAGGAGGATGAGAAGGAGAAGGAGAACAATCGAAGAAGAGCATACGACATAACAGAAACTGTCTGAGCTCCGCGCTGAGCTCTTGGATCTGTGCTGGGGCCCCTTCCTTGGCGCGCGGAGCGCCTCAGTAGCGGCGCCGGCGGCCCCGCCCGGGGGGCGCATCGCCGATCCCAGGAAGGCGCGCGGAGTTCTGGAAGTGTATGGTTAGCCTTAAGTCGGGCCTGTCCCCCTACAGGGGGATTTTCGACGAAAAATAAATACCCCAAAATAATCAAAAAATAGTCCAAACATAGTCTGAGGACTATTTTGGGGGTACCTGTATTTCTCCCAACCATCCCGTGGTGTTGGGTCCTCGTTTTGAAGAGACGTCGCCCCGCGTTCCTCCTCCTCTCCTCTCCTCCTCCCCCTCCTCCACCCTCCTAACATCATCATCATCATCATCATCATCATCATCATCATCATCATCATCATCATCATCATCATCATCATCATCATCATCATCATCATCATCATCATCATCATCATCATCATCAGCATCAGCATCAGCATCAGCATCAGCATCAGCATCAGCATCAGCATCAGCATCAGCATCATCATCATCATCATCATCATCATCATCATCATCATCATCATCATCATCATCATCATCATCATCATCATCATCATCATCATCATCATCATCATCATCATCGTTTCAGCATACCCCTCACACGTTTCGTGCCCCATAGGGAGCCCCACCGAAGGTCCCAGTGCTACCGTCCGCATGCGTCCCCCCACCCAGTACAGCGTTTCGTGGCCCCATAGGGAGCCCCACCGAAGGTCCCAGTGCTACCGTCCGCATGCGTCCCGCCCACCCAGTACAGCGTTTCGTGGCCCCATAGGGAGCCCCACCGAAGGTCCCAGTGCTACCGTCCGCCGCATGCGTCCCCCCCACCCAGTACAGCGTTTCGTGGCCCCATAGGGAGCCCACCGAAGGTCCAGTGCTACCGTCCGCATGCGCCCCCCCGCCCAGTACAGCGTTTCGTGGCCCCATAGGGAGCCCCACCGAAGACGGTCCGCATGCGTGCTTCCCCCCCACCGAAGGTCCCGTGCTACCGTCCGCATGCGTCCCCCCCACCCAGTACAGCGTTTCGTGGCCCCATAGGGAGCCCCACCGGAGGTCCCAGTGCTACCGTCCGCATGTGTCCCCCCCGCCCAGTACACCGTTTCGTGGTCCCATAGGGCGCCCCACCGAAGGTCCAAAAGCTACCGTCCGCATGCGTCCCCCGCACCCAGTACAGCGTTCCGCGGCCCCGCAGTGAGCCCCGCCGAAGGTCCCAGTGCTACTGTTCGCATGCGTCCCCCACGCCCACTACAACGCTTCGTGGCCCCATAGGGAGCCCCACCGAAGGTCCCAGTGCTACCGTTCGCATGCGTCCCCCACGCCCAGTACAGCGTTTCGTGGCCCCATAGAGAGCCCCACCGAAGCCCCCAGTAGGACTGTCCGTATGCGTCCCAGAAACCTAACTTATTTGGCATTTTCACCCTACCCAGTACGGCGTGTCGTGGCCCCATAGACCGCCCCACCGAAGCCTCCAGTGGGACTGTCCGCATGCGTCCTGGAGACACATTTTTGGCATTTTCACCCCACCCAGTACAGCGTTTCGTGGCCCCATAGACAGCCCCACCGAAGCCCCCAGTGGGACCGTCCCCATGCGTCTCGGAAATCCAGTTTGGCATTTCCACCCACCCAGTACAGCGTTTCGTGGCCCCATAGGGAGCTCCACCGAAGCCCCCAGTGGGACCGTCCGCGTGCGTCCTGGAAACCGAATTTGGCACACCCCTCATACGTTTCATGGCCCCATAGAGAGCTTCACCGAAGCCACCAGTGGGACCGCCCGCGTGCGTCCCACACACCAAATTTGGCATTCCCACCCCACCCAGTACGGCGTTGGCCCCATAGGGAGCTCGACCGACGGCCCCAGTTCTACTGCCCGCATGCGTTCCCCCCCACCCAGTGCAGCGCTTCGTGGCCCCATAGGGAGCTTCACCGAAGAAACTATTCACACTTGTGGTACCCACAACTGCATATGGTTGGATCCTTCGCCAGGATAATTTTATTTGTAGTCGAAAATCCCCCTGTAGGGGGACACGCCAGACTTAAAGTTTCGCCAGGTGTTCTTCTTCTCAATCAGCGCCGCCGCCGGTTTGGCCTACGATCCCCAGTCCACATCATGTTCCCGTACTGAACTTTCCCTGGCTCCTCTCGGAGAGCCCCCGACCATGTTGCGACTGATGTTCAGGCGGTTGGTGGCGTCGCTGATGACTCTGATGTTCATCGGCCTGCCTTCGCATGAAGCAGCAGCTTTGACTCTGGCGTCGCGCCCCCCCGCGTCCAGTTCAAAGATCTTCTTCGGTATCGAGACCTCACATGGGGAGACATGGACAAACCAGGTACAGGCTCAGTTAGAGACTTGGGCCGCGGACATTCCGAAAGAGTCGATGATGATTGTGGGTGGCCCTTATGATGAGACCCCTTGCGAGCAACGAAACAGTGCATGCAAGGAGGCCGTGCTCATGTATCGCGCAAGGATCCGTATGCAAGAACTCGGCGCCGACTGGCTGCTGGCACTCCATGAGGATGCGTACGTGGTTTTGGAACACATGTCCAAGCTGGAACAAGTGGATCCGCGGACTCCACAGATTCTTTCGATGGTCGGCTGTGGACAGGGTTGGGAGTATCACCCCGAGAGTAAGAATGGTACCGTGCCCAGGCCAGAAGACTATGTCGAGCCCCAATTTGTTTGCGAAAGCGTTTGGAAGCATGGCTCTTTGTGCAGTGCTGCGGGGATGTTTGTGAGCATTGGTGCTCTGGATGCCTTCACACATGGCTTGACGGAGGATGAGTTCATCAAGGCGCACAGAGCATCTCTGGATCCCAGCAACATTTGGGCCACAGAAGTGCAGTGTGACATGCCAACCTCCTGCTTGGCACACGAGCGTGGCGTCAAGCTTGTAGATATGAGCACCATCGGACTGGGAATGGGCCAGCCGATGAACTTCAACGAGTTCAGGACTGGCATCACCGACAAGCACATGCGCGAGTGGCTGGCGTCCGATCGCCTGTTCGGTGATTGGGATCCTGCGCTCGTCCACTCGAACATACCGAAGGAGGACATCCCCCAGTTCATGCGCAGCCTCCACCGCGCGAGGGCCAGCCCGCCGCGCCGCTCGAAGGTGGCGGGGCTGCGGCCCTCCGTCTCCCTGGCGCTGATCGTGGACCCCGCGGGGGCGGTTCCCGTCAAGGAGCTGCTCGCGAACTTTGTGGAGCAGCTGTCGAAGGGTCCCTTCCCCGTGAAGCTCTCCCAGGTGCTCCTGTTCTACGACGGTCGGGACAAGGGCACGGACTGGGGCTCGTTTCTGAGTGATGTGGAGGAGCTGACGCGCACAGGAGTGCTGCAGAGGGCCGTGAAGATACGCTACCAGGACGCCACCATCGAACAGCAGTGTGGCATCCATGACCCAGATGGACACGACGGCTCCCTTTTCGCCACTTATCAGTACCTCGTCGAGGAATGCGAGTCTGAGTACTGTGCGTATTTCAACTCCGACATATCCGTAAGGGTTTCGCCCCCATGCCGCCGGCCCCCTCTCTTAGAATGGGACTTGCCAGAGCTGTGTTTGGATGTCTGGATGCTGACGTGAAGCAATGTCGGGGCTTCACGCGAGGGCCACTATGAATTTACGAGGGTTTATGGCTTCGGTGGCGCGCATATTAGGTAATTGGCAATGGTTTACAGCTTCGGGGACGCGCTTACGGTATAATTCGCGAAAGTTTGTATAATTCGCGCCTTGGGGATGCAAGCATAGTGTCATCTATGAAGGTTTACGGCCATGGGGACGCGAATATGGTATAAATGTTTGAAAGTTTATGGCTTCGATGGCGCGATTATTATGTAATTTACGTGGGTTCATGGTCTCGGGAGCGCCAATATTGTATACTTTACGAGGGTACGCCAATATTGCATAACTTGCAAGGGATTATGGTTTTGGGGACGCGAATCTTACGTAATTTACTAGGGTTTATGGCCTCGGGGACGCGAGTATGGTGTAGTCTACTAGAGATTAGGGCCTCGGGGGCGCGAATCTCATGTATTTTTAGATGTCCCACGCCCCCCCCCCACAGGAATTCAGACAACGCGATTCGGGGACGCTAGCCAGGACATTTTTCAGCTCCCCCCCTCGCGCGTTCAGCACCAATTAACAGTGAGGAAGCAGAACACAGGACTGTAACAATAGAAACTGGACGCTGCAACTGGTACAGGGAGCTGCAAGCCTACTCTTCGCAGCCTGGTGGCCCCGCAAGGGAGCCGGTGGATTTGTGCACCAGGGAGGCGGACTTATCCATGCAGTCAAGCTTCTTCAGCAGCACTCAGATCTCGTTTTCGCGATGCCGCCATTGGCTTCTGATTCCATCGTGGAGGACGAACAATTGCAAGAACACTTTCTGAACGGCGACTTCAAGTATCCGTACCCCAATCCCATCGGCAGACTCTTCGACGAGAAGCCGGACAGATTCCCACGGGAGTGCAGCCGTGGTGGGAGCATGATGACCACTCGCTACTATGTGGCCAAGCCGGATAGGTTCCGCCAGCTTTTGCCCCTGAAGCCCGTGGATAGAGTACTGCTCGAGCAGCACGAAGATTTAGGGACTCACGCTGCGCCAGCGGTGTGCCCCCCAGGTCAAGGCTGGGTGATCCGCGCCGCTTCGCGGTGGACACGGCTGGACGTGCCTTCCAGACGATTTCGGACACGTCGGACGCGAGTTTGGAGCACGCCACCCCTGCTACCTGCGATTCCTCTTCGCTTTCCCATTGTCGTTTCTTTCTCTTTCTGGTCCTTCTCGTCCTCGTTGGTCCGTCTCTTCGTTCCCATCGTCGTCCTCGTCCTCCACCTTGACCTTCTAGGCGTGACTTCCACCAAGTCCGTTAACACGGTTCATGAGCATGTAGCATTGTGAAGCACATCTTGATATTCGCTGTCTTCCTCATTCCCTCGTCCCCGTCTTCGTTCTCGTCGTATTCCTCTCTCCTCCGCCCTTCCTCGTCCTGACCTCTTCTCGTTCTTGCTCCGCCTCCCCCCCCCTGCGAGGCCTCCTCTTCCTCCTCCTCCTCCTCCTCCTCCTCCTCCTCCTCCTCCTCCTCCTCCTCCTCCTCCTCCTCCTCCTCCTCCTCCTCCTCCTCCTCCTCCTCCCCCCAAGGGGGGCCTCCTGGGAGTCCTCTTGGGAGCACCTCTGGGACCACTTTAAGGGCTTTTTGCGCCCCGTGGGGCTCCCTTGGGGCCTCTCGGAATTCGGATGGTCCCGCAGGGGTGGAAGCCACTGCGGGCTCTCCCCCCCGTCGTGCCCCTGGCGCGCACGTCTCGCGACCGTGGGAGGAGGAGGAGGAGGAGGAGGAGGAGGAGGAGGAGGAGGAGGAGGAGGAGGAGGAGGAGGAGGAGGAGGAGGAGGAGGAGGAGGAGGAGGAGGAGGAGGAGGACTTGTGTAAACCCAAGAGTCATCAACGATGTTGGGGATGAACCCTCCCTCCAAGCTCCCTCTTCACACGCCCCTACAACGGTGCATTTCCATTGAAGGAACTGCCCCTTTGGACGACAACCGTTTGAAGACCCTGAAGCATGCCCAAACATTGTTCTCGGGATTCCAACGCCACGGATCAACCTGACTGTTGCGCCACGACAATCCAGAATCGTGCCAGAACGCCATGTTGCACCCGGATAATCCTGAATCCTTTGAAACCACCATTTCTGGCGCGGTGATGCTGGGAATCCGTGAAATTCTTGCAAATGTTTAGCACGAATGTGCGCCGCGCTAAGGCGAGAGCCACATTTTGAAAAGGAGCCGCCCTCAATCCGTGAAGCTGCTGCAAATCTATGAAACGATTGTGAGGAGGTGGAGGGGAGGGGGAGGAGGAGGAGGAGGAGGAGGAGGAGGAGGAGGAGGAGGAGGAGGAGGGAGAGGAGGATGAGGAGGAGGAGGAGGAGGAGGAGGAGAGGAGGAGGAGGAGGAGGGAGGAGGAGGGGGAGGAGGAGGAGGAGAGGAGGAGGAGGAGGGAGGAGGAGGAGAGGAGGAGGAGGAGGAGGAGGAGGAGGAGGAGGAGGAGGAGAAACAACGGCAGGCAGCGGACGACGTGGCATGTTGGCGTATGCCGGCGGCGAGCGAGGGGGTACGTGCGAAGGAGAGGGTTTTCTCCGAATGTGGTGGGACTTCTCAGAAGCCCTCGCGCCTTCTGATAAATATTTTCTTGTGTCAGACGGCCCGAGAACTTCCGGGCCTTCTAACCGGGTCCGCCCCCCAGGCTCGCCGCCAAGCAGCGGCAGGAGGCGGACGACTTGGCATGTTGGCGTATATTGGGCCCTCTTACTGGCCTCTGGGTGGCTTCTTGGGTTTTCGTCTGGGCTGCAGTAGAGCACTTTGGACCCGCCTCCGCCTTTGGACGCTGCCTCGGGGGCCTCTCTGGGTCGTCTTGGGGCGCTCTGGGGCCGTCTTGGGGCCCAAACTCTTTGCCAGTGTAGTATTAAAGTATTCAGTAGGAAGAGGACGGAAGAGGAGGAGGAGGAGGAGGAGGAGGAGGAGGAGGAGGAGGAGGAGGAGGAGGAGGAGGAGGAGGAGGAGGAGGAG